ATTTATATCATGCAACAGACCTTTAGAAAGATTAACAGCTATCAAAAGAGAGTTTTCTCACAGATTATTCTTGTTTGCATCCCTAAAATCACTGAATACATTTTCAATATTGTACACTGGTCTCTCTTATTCTCTTTGTTATTTGCACAGTATCAGTGACGAGAGTGTAGGTGTGCTATTATGCACTAGCATTGTCAAATATGTGCTCAATTATCACAATAAAACCCAACAGTAACACTGTATGCTGTGTTGTGTCTGTGTATGTATTTTAGTTCTTCCTTGGACCATACTCACTATCAAGCCTTCATATCCTGGTGCAGTGTACATGTATGTAAGACGAATTTTTGGCGGTTTCCAAAAAAAAAAAGGTTTTAAGCACACTGTAAAACATGCAAAACAGTTGCAAAATGAGCAAAAAATACAGTAAGTTGCAAAAAAATATTTAATAACCATACCATTGTCGTAGAATGCCAAAATCAAACAAAATTCCAAGATCAGGGTGTTGTACTTGGGACAATTTGTCAAGTTTCAAAATTTTCCACTTTCAGTACGAAACGTGAACTACAAGTGATACCATGCATGGTGCTTTTTAGATAGCGATGAGCGTTTTTTAAGTTACGCTCCTTCAAACTTGAGTGCATTGCTTTACAATTGCACTATATAGACACTCCAGAACACGAAAGCTCACTTGGCATATAATAACAAAACTCGTATTCTCCAATGATTTGTTTCAAATGTGAAATGACGTTACAGAACTAAAAGGAGGGTACAGATTTTGAAAATTACAACATTGTTATAGAATATGTTATTTCACTTACATACTTTGCTTATATCATGTAACGTTACAATCTCTACGGACACTACACATCTCTACGGACACTACACATCATCTCTATGGACAATACTGGTGTGTTACGCCGAAAGGCGGTTATACCGGCTATACAGATACAGATACTACACATCTCTACGGACACTACACATCATCTCTATGGACACTACACATCATCTCTATGGACACTACACATCATCTCTACGGACACTACACATCATCTCTATGGACACTACACATCATCTCTATGGACAATACACATCTCTACGGACATATATACATGTATATATAATATTATACATCATCTCTACAGACACTACAACATGGTAATTTGTGTCTGTCATTTTGTTTATTTACAACCATTATCAAAGCGGCTTCTGTCATAAAGCCACCATGTCAAGTTGTTTCAGAATATTGAGTTTATCTGAACCCATGGCATTTATTACCATTTTGTACTTTTCTACGGACACTACACGTTTTCTCAGAGAATGGCTCTCTGAATGCCATCTGGTATTTCAGTAACCCAAAGTACAAACAACATATAGACATAACGGCTGTTATATTTTGTGTTGACAGTTACATAACGTTTTAGATACAAGTGGCAAGTTCTATCACAATTTGGGGCAGGGGGGGGGGTACAAGGATGTATTTTCCAAAATGAATTTTTGATAACGTGTAATACGTCTTGTTTTGTTAACAGCACTCTAGGAAAGATGATTTTTCAAATTATCATCTAGTTTTCAGCAAAACATATTAAAAAGAGCCATTCTTAACATACTGCTCGATCGCTGCTCAATTGCTGATTTCATTTTTTGGTCAGAACTTGCCAATAAGCTTGTCTAGTGCAATCTCATCAGAAATGCAAATTTTATGGCAATTTTGGGCATAAAGTTGGTCCTAGCATTACGTTTTGAACAGATATCTACCAAAAGCTTCATGATTACTTGTAGACTAGGAGAATACTTGTATTTAGATAATACATGTTATGTTTAAAAAAATTTGAACAGAATGCAACGAATATTTAGTGTGAATGATATAAGTTAACAGTGAAGGATGCCATTGGTACACCCTGATCTTGGAATAGCCGACGACAAAAATAAGCCAAAGCCCACGCCTCTGCTTGGAGCTGTGCAGGTATTTTGACATTTGGGTACGCAAAATGCTCTTGTTACCTCCATGAAAAATGGAGGTATTGTTTTTGGCATGTATGTCTGTGTGTGTGTGTGTGTCTGTGTGTGTTTCCGCAACATTGTAGTCAGCATAACTTCAGAACGCCTTTATGGATTGTGATGATATTTGGTATGATGGTAGGTCTTGGAAAGACAAAGGTCAAGGTCAAGTATGGGCCTCCTGGTGGATGACCTTGGTACTGCAGCATAACTTCCGGTTCTTGTAGCTTTTGTCCTGAACAAGCTATGGTCTTGACTTTTTTGGTGACAGATAGCTTATCCTGTCAGGAATAAGTAGCGTAAGTTTGGTCCCCCTAGCAGCTTGTTCTGGAATTGCAGGTTAGTTTCTGGTAAAAACTTTCAAAGCCAATAAGTCCAGATTGGAACAACGTATTCTCATCATTTTTGGTGTGTAGGTTACAGTAACCTGAGAGACAGTTGTATAAATGCAAATTATGCATACGAGGACTTAATTTGCATAATTAATGAGGAAATTTTATAATTACAGTGTTTCATATAATGGTACTGCTATACATGTAATCTGTTTGATCTGTGGCAGGCGGAACATCAACAGATACCAATTATGCAAATGATGACCTAATTTGCATAATTAATGTGAAAATTCTGTGAATCATTATTGGTGAATGATGGGAATTTTATACCTCGTAACATGTGTAAGTTACTTAAAGGTTTGCATCGCTATGCATACATAATGTTAATGTAGAGGTTATTTGCATAATTAATGAGGACAAAGCAAGCCCATATTTCATGGAGGTATGAGATCTCGGAACTCTTGTTTATACAGTACCGACAGTCGACTAGTCACAGCTCTTGTACTTCCTAGTTGTTTACGTTTTGTTGAAATATAACCGTTATACATGTTATTTACAACCAGCCAACTTCATATACATGTGCGGACTCGATTCATCTTTGTAATCATGAGTGGTATTATCACTAACGCTACCGAACGCACTGCAATCCCAAATACGCCAGGGGGCGCTGTTTAGTTACTTGATCCGCCAGCAAAAAAATACTAGTAGCCAAGAGGCTCTTTATGGCGTTTTATGCTATATGTGATTAAACACAATTTTCACAAATATTGATGAATCAGGTTTAAAAACTTCCAAATCAGGACCTTCTATATAATCTTCAATTAACTATGGCAGTACATGTGCAAACATTGCTTTCCCTTAGATGTAAGTGCATGAATTTTGATTCAATTTGAGGCAAGCAGAGCCTCTGCTCTAATAGCGTTGCGGTAGAAGGAAACAAAGAAGACGGTGTGTGTGTGGAGGTGCGGGGCCGGGCTTTGTATCACAGATCTGGTATTTTAAATTTATTTTATAGCACATATTTCAGCTAGAAGAACATGGAGAAAGATCAGATATCGTACTGGGGAAATTCAAGCGAGCAGATTTTGGTGGAACACTTCCCGATGCACCGAGCCTGTCGAGACGGTAACGTGTGCTCACTGAGTTCTCTCCTGGAAGCCGGTGTTTTTTCACCGTACGAAGAGGACCAGTTTTACGGCTGGACTCCCGCTCACTGGGCTGCATACTTCGGCAAGGTAACCCAGAATGTTTGTTATTATTACACAAGTCGTTGATTGGTGAATTTGTCCTGAAGTTTCTGTGAGAGGAGTGAATGAACTGGTCTGCCTGCCAGAACCAGACTGTTTTTGTTATGTTGTAAAAATGGCGGGAAGATGTGAAAACCTGGCAGCCTTGCCAGCGCTACTAACAACACGTGGTTCTCCTCGGGTAAACAAAGGAAACACGCTTTATTTCTGTCAGATTTTCTCTCAGATGCTACGAAGATTAGATTTTACAGAGTTTTACGAAGATTTCAGTTCTTGGTGTGGTGAACTTGTGACACTTTCGCCAGTCAGACGATATTGTTTTGCTGTTTCCAACTGACTGACCTGTTTGAGTGTGTAGTATTTTCTACCAAGCTATTATTGTAAACCAGTGCCATGGGTGCCGAAAGACGATACTTCTGGTCGTTGGTCCGGCCCCTGTAATAATTTTTGTGGGCCTAGACTGAGATGGTGTCATTTTGTGTAGTTTTAACGTTATTAACAAAATAATTTACGTTAGTGAAAGTTAAACGGGGGGGGGGGGGCGTATAACGTATTTTATTATTTTGATGGAGGCATCAGACAGTATCTGCCCCAGGGCAAACTGCCAGACGAGACAGAGTAATTTGTTTATCTCAATTTCATTTGGGGTCATCATTTTACATCAAGGAGCTTTCATCATTTTACATCAAGGAGCTTTCATCACATGTATACATGTACCTGTCACTGTTACATAACAGAAATTTGTCCTTATCTTATATATACTTTTATTTATGCTTTTATTACTGGAACAAAATCCTCTCTGGGAAGCAGGACATTTCGGCCCATGGACGCTTCGGCCATGGACATTTTAGGACATTTCGGACACATGGGGTGGACATTTCGGCCACATGCCGGGGACACTTCGGTTCGGCCACATTATTTATTGACAATACCAAGTTATCAAATGAATGTACGGTGTACTATATGATATGATGTATGAACACATACCAATTATTCGGAAAATCTGTGGAATAATAAAGTGTATTGGATATCTCCTTTTTGTGATACGTTTCATACTCGAATCCAGTAGGAACATATTGCAATAAAACGTCTCGGCGTACCTCACACGCTCATATGATTTCCAATAGGTACCGCGCCCTTTGTCAGAAAACTTCACGCTCGTCGGCAATCAACATGAGTTTTCAGTAGAGACTGCGCCCTTTGTCAGACAACGTACCTGATCGCGAGTACTTCACGCAAGATTTGTTAGAAAAGTTGCAATAGCTGTTGATTGATGAATTTTAGTTTAGGAATTAGGAAAGATAGGAATGATTCAACTGCAGTGAACGTGTTAATAAAAAAAAAAAACGTTTATAAAAAAAGAACGTGTTAATACGCTGAAACGTTTGAACGTTTGAAACAATTGAACGGAGAGCCTTTGAAATTTGTCACGTCATATGTTTATCTCGGTATTCACATTAATGACAAACTGAGTGACGACGACTGTATTCTTACCCAGATAAGAGGTCTGTATAGCCGTGCAAATACATTGTACTATTAGGCCACACCAAGTAAATTTTATGGATGACGTTCTTTGGAGACCCTAAATCTAATGCGAGAGGGCGAAGAAAAAACAAGAAGGGCCCTAAAAAACAAGATGCCTCAACCCTCCAGACTGCGACCGTTTTGGTCGCATATGCGACCAAAAATTACGAAATGCGACTAAACTTTTTACTCTGGTCGCGCACTGCGCGACCGGCAGAAAATCCGCGGTGCGCCTAAATTATTGGCTATAGCGCTGTTAGAGGCAAAAATTTCTTATTTTTTCCCGTAAGAATGTCATATCAATGCCAGGCAAAATCATGTTCATTTGTCAGAAAACCCATTACAAGTCCGTAGATACCATTATCTCGGCAAATAAAGCGGCAAACAGCTTTTTTTCGACGAAAAAACAGGCCCGACACAACCGGGGCGCCATCTTGTTTTCATCTGGCGTGACCTCTCGGCAGCCCGACTCTCGCGAGACTTGATATCCTTAAGTTATACCATTAGAGGGGTCAGGTGACGAGATCTCGCCTTCAAGCTTGTGGTAGCAGAACACAGTTTTCGCCCTATGGGGATTTCTATAGTTAAGGACCTCAAGATGACTCACTTCGACGTGGTAAAAATTATAGCAGGGTGCACTTCACAAATACGAAAATCGAATATGTTTGAGAAGAAGGTACAAACTACAAAATATCTAGAAACCAAAAAATCCTGTCGGCGTATCTGCTCGTAACGTACACTTTGAAATCGCCTCCTACGGACGTGACCTGAACTGCAGCCGACTCACCCGGAAAGCCAGTTGCGCAATACGGCGCATTTATACACGAACTGCAAAACCTTCACAAATCAAATCATACAGTCTCAAACCCGATACATTCCTACACCACACAGCACAATTTACATCTGGCTGACGCTCTCATCAGGCTTTCTACCCAGCCTTCAAGAATATTCGCTGCACTACTTTCTATACCCGCCGTCATCGTCCCCGGGGGTCGCCCATTAATACTGTGACATACAATGTACACAGTGTTTCCAGAATTGTTTAGGGGATTCTAAACTGCCATCTGGCCTAAATTTGGGGGGAAATCAAGAAGATAAATATCTTTATCAGCCACAACTTGTGATATTTGACTGTTGGCAAAGTTTGTGTTTGAAAAGAGATCCTCCCTCATGGCCCAGGAGCGTCCAGGACAGGGAAGTTTGGCAATGCGTGACTGATAGGATTTTCTACTAGAACTCCTCTAAGGAAAACTTGGGCAGATGTCTGTTGTACAGACTTTTCAAACTAAGTTGTAGATTGTTTTGATACAGTTGAAGAAATAATTAATATTAATAGCAAAGTTTCAACTGAAGGTATTAATTTTAGACATTTGTGTAGCATATATTATTAAATAATTATAATTTATAAATTATAGGCAATTCCAAATGAAGCCTATTTTTTTTATTCTTCCCCTTTTATGTTTTCTACTCTGTCCTTTTTTCCATGAGCTTTTTTTTATTGTATTTAATTTTTTAAGAATTATTTTTCAGTCAATGAAACTACTTCAGACATGCAGTGTTACCTGAAAAGTTGTAAGAAATAAAGAAGATTGTCTTCATTTGTGTTGTGGAAAATCTGTACCTTTAATGATAACAAAATGGTTTGAGTAGCAATGTTAATATTATTAACCGTTAGATCATAAATAACTCAGTGTATTATTGCTTAAAACATTTAAGTGTTTTTTTTCCAAAAAATAAACTTGACTATTTCATTGTTGCAATGATAAATGCATAGATATATGTCATTTATATTTCGGGCAAGTGAAAAGTTGGTTCGGGCAAGTGAAAATGACCATGCACTTGCCTAATAGGGTTGGATTTTAGAAAACTTGTCCAACTCTGCAGAGGCCTAGGAGACCGACATATCAGTCAGCCTGGCCTAACGACTGAGATGAAGTGACTTTGAACACATTAAAGACAGTTACTTGTAAAATAATTGTTTGGTCTTTCATTTATCACAATATATAATTTTCTTTAAGAACAAATAGTGAATTTTGATGTTGTTTCTATGATAATGAAAGAATGATTAATTGTCTGTTTAGGTACATTATTCTCTTGGCTTGTAAATTAAAAAGTACTTTGCGCGACCAGATTTTTTGTTTGCGCGCCCAAATGTTTGCCTGCGCGCCTAACTTTTTGAGGCTAGGAGCGCATGCGCTCCTAAGCTAAAAATTTAGTCTGGAGGGTTGTGCCTAGATTAGAAATATACTAAGAGACGACAAATGTAAGGACACAGATTGAGTGAGGTGACACAGTCTAACAAACAAGAAGTCTTTTATTCATCATCAAAACAGCAATAAATCAGGTGGAACAGCAGTTGTCGTCCTGTCCTGTTTTCGCGTTACAGGTATCACGTCAATCTGACGATTTGCGGCACTGTCGTGACTCTTTGGTGATAGTTACAGGAAGCGTAATTTCTTGGGTTTTTTTTCGAGGAACAGACCAAAATCAATGCGCGCGGACGTCATCCATAAAATTTACTTGGTGTGCCCTTATACGCAAATTCGCTTATTGTTCTTCATATGTTAAAAAGACGTTGTTTACAGCTCATTGCTCCCAACTTTTTGCTGCACAGTTGTGGGACAGAGCTAGTTCTAAAATTGTATCAAAGTGTCGAGTTGCTTACTAACTGTCTTCACATCATAATGTCACTACCCAGATTTTGTAGTGCAAGTGAAATGTTTGTATACAATAGGATTGACACATTTGATGCTACATGGCGTAAACAATTTAATGTTACTCATTCATATCCCGTCTATACAAGTCATCTATACAACTGTTGAACATTATCCAATCTGTTCTTAAATCTGAAGTGATATTCCGTAGCAGATTCTTTCGCAATAACTGGGCCCGTCTGTACATATAGTCATATTATTACCTCCGGGTAGGGATGTATATCCCGTGCGCGGAGGTTATATGAGGGAAGACGAAAATTACGTTCGCAGCAGTTTCTAGCGTTTGGGTGGACGGATATGTCTGGGACTTGGTATACGTTTTGCTATTGGGCTGTAGATGGTGCACGTTGTTTTGGTTTTTTAGTATGTGTGTTTTAGTGCGTGAAAATGATGCGTTTTGACAGCGTATGGACACCCCTTGTGTGTGAAAGTGGTTTTGTCTTTTGGTTTTCGGCGTGTATAAAGTATCGTAGGTTGCGTCCACATCTGGTGAGAGGGGGTTTCAGGTATCGAGTGTGAAAAATTATGGTCGCGCGGGTCGCAGCCAGCCAACTTCCGGGTGGGCCAATGGGTCAGGGGTCAACGCCCTCTTGCGCAATTTCGGATGTTTTCTGCGTATAGTACGACTTCTTAACTTACAAATACCGTGGTATACTGTCTCAGGCGTTCTCGACATGCATTTCGCGTTGGGGTAGACGGGACTCGGTGTATCTTCTGTTAATGGGCTGTAGATGGTGCAGGGTTTTTTTGTTTTATTGTATATGTGTTTTGGGGCGTAAGATTATTTGTATTTCGTGTCTCGGACACCCGTTACTGTTGTTAGTGTGTGAAAATGGTCGCGCGGGTTGACCATTTGCGGTTACATCTTCGCCAATCAATCAGCACACTCGGCTCGGGGTCGCCGATGTTATCCTGGAGCTAGCTTGGGTGCCATCCCCTACCGCGAGTGAGCGATAATCTTTCGGCCAGGGAAAGCCACACGCCCCGCCGACCCTGATTTGCGCCCTGGCTCTCCTCGCGTCCGGATCTGGCCGGGTGTCTGTACAAAGCCTCTCGACCGCTGAGTCCCTGTGTTTTCGAACTTCGGTGGGGATTTCCGTGTTGTTTTCTGATTTTCATCATCCACTAAGATATACTTGAAGACCGAGCGTGATTTGAACTAGTGTGGGATAAGTGGGGAGGGATGGCAGCCGCGGGGGGGAAGCGGTCGGCTTGATAAATTTTCGAGAGCATGTTGATTTCTCACGCAGCCGTTTGTGTGGGTGTTTGTTTACATTATCGCTGGTCGCTGAGGGTCGGGCAGCCAGATTCGCCACGGGATGCCTCCTGTCCTTTCTATTTTTGGGCTCCAGTCGGCTAGGGGGGATTAGTGATTTCACAGATCATTTAGCCAATTACAAACATTTCGAAACTTTTCGAAAAAAATGGTATTCGCGCGAATTCACTAGTTAATTTAAAGAACAGTCCCAACATGCACCCAACATTCTGCAACATACATTACAATACCCGGAGGTACAAAATCTACGATTTTCCTTGTTCTTTTACTGATGTAATTGTGTGTGTATTTTATATGTATTTTGTATATGGGCGAGTTATGCCTGAAATAAAGAAATAATATAAGTGAAACGGATTTTATTCTATCGCCGATGGTCCTTTAGCACGGTAGGAAACTGATTCTGAAAAAGAAAATAAGAATGAGATATAAATAATATTGCATTTGTCAAGAAAATACATTCGTTTTGCCATGTTTGCTTTTGCCTTGCTTGCTTTCTGAGGTCGAAGTGTCTAGAATTGGGACATACGGCACGTGGCCGAAACGTCCTCCGCATGTGGCCGAAACGTCCAGCACATGTGGCCGAAATGTCCATGGGCCGAAATGTCCGACATTCCTAATGTCCAGGTGAGGTCCAGGTGGTGCTCGAAACAATGTGAAAATCTAAACTATCTGTACAAATGTCAAAAAAAATACAAGAAACAGTGCTGGCCGTCTTAGCATGGTAAATGGTTTGTTGACTCGGATATGGGAAGGCCATGTGTCAGGCCAAACCCATTATTTTGAACTTCTGTAAGGGATGTGGATGTGGCTATGTCTGTAGGTAAATTATTCCAGTGTGGTATGGTGCATGGTGATTGTACTTTGTAGCTGCTGCGGTGTGTGTCTGTTGAAGGTGTGTGTCTGTTGAACAGTAGAAAGTTTGTAGGCATAGTGGGTGACCTCTTGGTGTTCCTAGTGCTAGTGGTGAGTTTGTGTAATGGAATGGCGACAAGGTTGTTTTGTAAAACAAAACTAGTCATGACTGTTGTCTTCGGGCCTGTAATATGGGCCATCCCAGGTTGTGTTGTACTAGCTGTGTGGCTTGGTGGTGTGTATATAGCTGTCACAGACTCATCTGGCTGTGTGTCTCTGCACTGACTCAAGTTTGACCTGTAGTGCATGGATTGTGCATGTTGACATTTGAGTGGGTCCCAGACTGGGTCCTGAAATAATTTGAGTCTGACTGTAAATTTCTACCTCCATGGTTTGATATTGAAAAGTGCTCTGACATAATCTGTATTTGCAGAAAATATTTCCAAATTGCAGAACACAATTTTGATCTGCTGCAATATTACAGAACATAGAAAATAGTATTTCTACCACTTATGTACATTCTCTGTTGTCCTTTCCTTTCAGTTGGAGTGTCTGCGACAGTTGATAATGTCAGGTGTGAATAAGGACGTGACAACACAGAGGTTCTGTCAGACACCAGCTCACATCGCTGCCTTCGGGGGTCATCCTCACTGTCTGCTCTGGCTCCTGCAGGCTGGGGCCAACATCAATGCCCAGGTACATTTTGTAGTCAAATCCCAACGGATTTTATTTTGTTGTGGTAACGAGAGCTACCAGTGGTGGTGAACACTTCCTGTAATCAGGGAAAGGACAGTTTACCTAACGTTTGTCGGCTGTTTCAACGCTGTAGAGAT